CCCTCTAGTAAAGGGAAGGGCTGTCTGCCAAGTCAGCAGAGCTGTCACCAGGAGACAGAGGCCAGAGAACGGGAGGGCAGACAAATGACAGCTGAGTGTCACGACTGTGTCTCAGCGATAGTGCAGTCAGTCTTGGGGGACAGGGTGGGGGAGCTGGTAGGGAGGCAAGTTCCCAGTGTGAACATGTGCTTTGGGAGAGAAAAGATGAAATGGAGACAAAATAAAAGGAGTAAAAACAGTGATCTTTTGCTTAGGCTATTTAGAAGTGTTACAGTTTAGGAGTTTTTAACTCTAGTTATTTAGAAACTTGGGGACATTTTGATTTTGGGGTATGTTACAAATGGACTGGAGACTTGAGTAAGTTTAGGAAACCATCTTTTTTTTTTCCTTTTCCAAATTTTAGATCTGGGTGAGGTGGATGTTATTCCTGAATCTTTTGTAACATTTATACTGACCTGCAGTGGTGGATTTACTTTTTCACAAGAATAAGCTATCTCAGAGGCAATCAAAAGCCCAAGTGTTTCCTCACAAAATCTATTTCCTCTGTATTTGTGCCTCAGCTGAGGAACAATAGAGACCATCAGCACAACTCTGTAACATCCATTTCCAGTCCTTTATTTACACCTTTACTTACTTATTACTATTATTATTTCAGAGATTTTTTTTCCTGATCCTAAAGTGGACACAAATGATATATTGCTATGAAAGTTTGTCTTACTACTAAAACTTTATCAGTTTCTCAATTGGGGTGTCATTCTTTATAAAATAGAAAATTTTCAAAATTCAAGTTTGAAAACTCTGACCTTAAGTCAGAGATAAAGGAAGTGCCTGTCCCTCTTCTGCCTTCTTTTTTTTTTTTTAAAGATTTATTTATTTATACATGCACTAGGTACAGTCAGAAGCGCAGGAGGGTGAGAGAATTCACTAGAGACAAAGCGGGGAACAGAACAGGCAGACCGACGAAATACACTGCTGAGGGGAGCAGCAGGCGCGGTAGGAGAGGTCTGCGCGCCATGTGGCACCCTCGCCGGTGGCCGGGGATCGAACCAGCGCTGCAGAAGCTGCGGGCAGCTTCGCAGCCCAGCGTTCAACTGCTGCGCCACCAGGGAGGCCCCTCTTCTGCCTTCTTGAGGCCCCTCCCATGGCCCGTCCCTCTTCCCGCCACACTTTCACGCACTTCTCTGCTTGACCCAGGACACTGCATTTCATGTTTAGAGCTTGGAGTCCAGTTTGCACTCCCACAACCACTATGGAGAGCTGTGTGGAGATTTCTGGACCTACTAAACATAGAGCTTCCATATGACCCAGCAATTCCACTCCTAGGTATTTACCCAAAGGACACAGAAACATCAATTCCAAAGAGCACCTGCACCCCTGTGTTTATAGCAGCACTGTTTACAATAGCTAAGCTTTGGAAACAACCCAAATGCCCAAAAATAGATGACTGGATCAAGAAGATGTGGTACATATACACCATGGAATATTACTCAGCATTCAAAAAAGATAAACACATGCAATTTGCAGCAACATGGATGGCGCTGGATCATGCTCAGCGAAATAAGCCAGAAAGAAAAAGAAAAATACCGGATGGTCTCACTCATAGCAGGAATCTAGAAAACTTAAATAAGGGACTAGGAAAATGAATAACTATAAGAAAGTGAAAATCAAAATCAACAAACAACTATGAACCAGAGACACTCTATTGGGGGTAGGGGGTGGGAGGGGAGGGATTGGGGTCAAAATAAGGGGGTTGCAATTGTATTGGGAATATAAAAATAAAATTTATTATAAAAAAATGGAGGAGAAAAAGTATGTTAGTTATGAGAGGAAGAAAGCCAAGTTCACAACTGATCCATTGTTATCTTTTCTTACCAAACAGAGCCTTTGTCTTTATACCAGGGCCTCCAGGGTAGTCCATTTTTCTTTTTTTTTTTTTTTTTTTAAAGGGATTAGTTGCCAATTTTATTTTATTTTAAGATTTATTTATTTATTTATACATGCACGGGTACAGTCAGAAGCGCGGGAGGGTGAGAGAATTCACCAGAGCCAGAGCAGGGAGCAGAGCAGGCAGAAGGACCGAAGCACACTGCTGAGTGGAGCAGTGGGCGGCAGGAGAGGTCTGCGCGCCATGTGGGACCTTCCTCTGGTGGCCGGGGAGCAGCCGGGGATCGAACCGGCGCTGCAGAGGCTGCGGGCAGCTTCGCAACCCAGCGCTCAACCACTGCGCCACCAGGGAGGCCCCATTTTTTCTTTTTAAACCATTTTATTTTTATGTAGAAGAACTGGTATGCACAACAGAGGTGTGGGTGGTGAGAGGATTCACCAGAGACAGAGTGGGGAACAGAACAGGCAAAAAAAAAAAAAAAAATAGAGCTTGGAGTCCAAAGGGCCCAGATGCAAATCCCAGGTTTACCTCAGCTTCCTCATCTGTAAAATGAGAATAATCAGAGTGCCTACTTCATAGGGTGATTGTGTAATTTTGGGATATTTACTTAACCTCACACAGTTTGCTCACCTGTAAAATAAGGCCAACAATAGTATTTAAGAAGGAGGTGAGGCAAACAATGTGTTTACACAATACCTGGAAATTTGTAATTTTTTTTTTTTAAAATTCGTAATTTTCAGTGGTAGCTATCATATAATACTTGTCCTGCAGTAGACTCAAGCCATTCTAGAGAAACCAATTAGCCTTCTAAATATAATGTGAAACAAGGAAGATAATTTTTCAACTTTTGCTGAGAGCTCAACATAGCTTTCTATCATGTTCATTCAAATATTTTTGTAAGGTTCATTCTTATGACTGATTAATATTAAAAGATGTAGCAGATCAAGGTCTGTACTAGAAAGTAAAGTCCTGCTATAATGTCATAGTGGAATAGCTGTGACAGAGATTGACTAGCAAGCCTTAAATATTTATCATCTGGTCCTTCAAGATAAAATTTGCTGGCAACAATGCTGATCACACCTACCTCCTTTCCACTGAGCTGCCTTTTGCCAATCTTACATATTTATCAGAATACCACATGAAGTCGAGAATGCCAGAGCTTGGTCAAACCAAGAATCTACTGCAAAGCATTATCCGTTTTGTCCTCACTGACTGGAGAAACCTTATCATCAGCTCCTGAGCATTTTCTCTCGTTGAACTTGGACAGTACCTGCATGTAGTCAAACCATTGTGAGAACTAAAACTATAAGTGCACAGAAGAGTTTCGAGCATACTCAAAACTGGGCCTTTGGCATTCTTTCAGTTAGGTTCTTTTGCCTTGGATGAAGGTCTGGTGTGCTTTGGCAGCTTTGCAAGCCTGTTCAAATAAATGATTTAAGTATCTTCATTGTCTTCTTACTAGTTAAAGGAAACGATTGCAGTGCTGCTTCTTTCCTTCAGCTTCACTTTTTAAAATGTGCTTAGTGTCTGAGAAAAGCAAGCTGTGAGATACAGCTCTCCTAAAGCCCACTGTGTCTGATTTGAGGATTAGAGCAAAGAAAGGGTGGGGAAGGGTGGCTGTTTCCAAACATGCACTGTAGAACTGAGCCCAGCCACATTCCTGGCACTTTCCCAGCTGTCGGGGTTTCCAAGCAGAGGGAACCACCTGCCTCAACTCTGCAGTGACAATCTGCTGGGGCCTCTTGTAGTTCAGGAACTGCAGGGGAGGTGCTAAAGACAGTGTAGGCAGTCAGTGTTCCTGGAGCTTGGGTATGCCAGGGTCAGTCGACTCTGGCAGTGGAATACAGCTCAACTTTTGGCTGGAGAAGCCTAACTGGGTAGGGTGCCACAAGGTTATCCCTAAGTTATTAGATTGAGTCACAGGAAATTGACAGTATTTGGCCATTCTGATCTTCAAAAATAGCAGTTTCGTGTAAAGTTCAGCCTAAATTTTCAGTAAGTGGAAAGGCAAGAAATTGAAGACCAATGAATCTTGTCTGCAACAGGCTTATATCCATCCATTGGAAGCAGAATGTTTTCTAGAACATTAGTCATTTTTATTCTTGTCTAAGGTTCTGTTATGAATTGTGTCTCCTCCAAAAAGGTATGCTGAAGTCCTAATCCCCCACTACTTCATATGATCTTATAAAGATTACCTCTTTATAGAGGTAATCAAATTAAATTGAGGTTATTATGTGAGCCCTACCAACGGCTGGTGTCCTTACAAAAAAGGGACATTTGGACAGAGACAGATATGGATGAAGACAATGTGAAGACAGACCAGAGAATGCCCTGTGCAGATAGAAGTCTGGAGAGACACATCTACAAGCCAAGGAACATGAGGCCACTGGAACAAGGAGAGAGGCACGGATATTCTCTTCCTTTGTACCTTTGGAGGAAGTGTGATACCTTGGTTTTGAACTTTTTGGTCTCCAGAACTGTGAGAGGATGAGTTCCTGTTGTTTTAAGTCACCCAGTGTGTGGAACTTTGTTAAGGAGGTCCTAATTTTCTGGTCTGAATATGTCTCCCTCAAATTCCTATGTTGAAACCCCAATGCCCAATGTGATGATTTTAGTAGGTGGGGGCTCTGGGAAGTGCTAAAATAAAGAAGGGTTACTTTCCTGAGTGGGATGAGTACCCTTCTAAAAGAGGATCCAGAAAGATCTCTAGACCCTTCCCCTAGGTAAGTATCCAGTGAGAAGGTATTGGCTGACCCAGGAAGAGTGCCCTCACCAGAGGGCAACCATGCTGGTGCCTTGATCTTGAACTTTGCAGGCTCTAGAACTGTGAGCAATAAATTTCTTTGTCTATAGACAACAGAACAACAATACAGAACAACAATACTCAAGCTGTTGAATGGATTAAGACACCTAGGAATGTATTTAGGCTCCTTGTAGTGATGATAAACTATGCTTCTAAGACACAAGAGCCCAGCATATGTCAGAAATACTACACCTAGAGTCCAAGACTACATATTTGAAGTATACATTTCTATAGGAACTAGTTGTGTTTCCTACTATAGCCAAAAACATTTGTTTTGATACAACAAAGCTAACTTTATAATTTATAGTGCATGTGTACATACACACACACCCCACACACACTCATATTTATTCCTTCCTTTTCTTTTCTAGCATTTTCAAGTTTGTGGTTTCAATATGAATTTTACTATGGTCTGCAATGGGGCAGATATAACACTTGTGCCAGTTTGAGTCTATTCAAATTTTAGGCGAACCAGAGAATTATCCAAAGGAGACAGAAAGAATTGCTGAGACTCTTGCAGGGAGTGTTTCTGTATTAAAAAGCTTCTATGGTAGAAACAGAACTCCTGGGGTTGTACCAGGTTAGCTGGAGAAGGTCAGTTTTAGCAGGATTCTCCTGATGGGGGACTCAACAGTGGTGGGGGAGCAGGCCCGGGATGATAGCTTATTCTGGAGGAGAGTCTTTCGCAGATTGGTGTGGAATTCACCAGGAGCTCTTTTATGTCAAACTTTTGTTAGGGTCCAGCTTTACAAATAAACCTAAACAAACAAAATAATAGAATATGATTATAAGTCAGTCAATCTGATGGGACTCATCTACATAGAAATACATATACAAAGAAAGGCATTTAGAGCATTTAGTTTCATATTTTTAACCATCTCATCTGCCCTCATTTTTCAGCCAACTTAGGGGTCAACTTTTCATATCACGATACCATAACACAGGGTCTTCTACCACTTGGGCATTTCATGATTCATTACTACTTCCATGAGAGAGTGTCAGAGGTGAAAAGAAGTAAAAGTAAAACTGAGCCAACCTTTATGATACTGAAAGGTTTAGTGAGACAAAAGTATAAATCACAACCTGGAGTGGAGTTTTTAAGTTGACTATAGGTTCAAATTATTCATCATCTTCCTCCTGCTTCTTTCATCTATCATTCCTAAAAAGAGCTGATACTTAGAGGAAAAATGAATTTCTTAAGAAAGATACATAAAGCATTAACCATAAAGGAAAACATTTAATAAATATGACATTAACATGAAAAATTCTGTTCATAAAAGATACCTTAAAGCAACTAAAAGACAACTTATATACCAGAAGGAGTTATAGTATGTTGTGTAGCACTCCTACACCAGAAGGAGTGTAGCATGTCTGGCCAACCAATTGTTAATTTATTAAACAATATTAAGTTTAATAAATAATATATTAAAGGACTCCTATTAATCAGTTAAAAAAAGAAAAAAGGGTTGAACTAATAGGAATTTCAGAGTGGGAAACAAATATGATCAATAGATGTTTGAAGAGCTGCTCAACTGCATAGGAGGCCAGGAAAATGTAAATCAAGATCACACTGAAATACCATCATATAACCACGTGACTGGAAGAAAATCAAGAAGACCGACCTTACTAATTGCTAGGGAAGATGAGGGTTCAACAAACTTTCATAGATCATACGTGGGAATATAATTTGGTACAGCTGTAGCTTCCCCTGTAAAATTGAGCACTGTTATACCCTACAACCCAGAAATCCTACTCCTAATTATATGCTAAGTTTTTGTCCCTATACATCCTAGGAGACACAAACAAGAATGTCTGGTGTTGGATGTTGAACATTTGGTGGTGGGTGTGGTGTGACATACACAGTTGCTGAGGTGAGAAATTGTACACCTGAAACCAAACAGTGTAGAAGACTAATGTCACATCAACTGAAAAAAAAAAAATTAGAGTCGCCCTAGTCAATACAGTCAGGCCTACCATCAGAAGAGGAGCTAAGTCGTGCTGCAGTCACTATGGACTATTGTGCAGCAGTACATGGGCGAACACAGTCAACAACATGAGTGATCTCGGTAACATGAAGCTGAATGAAAAAAAAAATCAAGACCCAGAGGAGCACATACAGCACGATCTCTATTCTACAAAGTTCAAAACAAATACTAACAATCTAGACCTTAGGTACACATATATTCTTGATAAATCTTAAAAAAAAAAAAGTACAAAGGGATGTAAACCTCTGAGGGTTACCTGTGGGGGAAAGCACTGCCGTGAGATGGGGGAAAGTAATTGCATAGGGATATATTACTAAGATTCTGGTTCTTGTCTGATGGTAGCATTCAGGGTCATTATTATTACATTAAAAGAAGTAAATACATTAGTGAATGAATAATAAAAGATTATTATTCATGTATCATAATTACTATGGGTCCAACATCAGGGATTATGATTAACTTAAACCTGTAAGAATAAAAGCATATGAAAACTACTGGACACCTCAGTTGACTCATCTCATTCTGAAGCTGAGGCTTCAAGGGCCCCTCCCTGGCAAAGGCCTGTGACAGTGGGGTTTGTGTATGCAGTGCTTCTGTCCAGTAAATTACCTAGTGATCTCAGAAGGAAGGGACCTGCCTCTTCATGACAGCAGGAATGTGTTGTGATTTTTCTCATCGAAAACATTCACTTTTGCACCCAATCTTGCATTCTTCTCTTAGATCTTTTAAAGTCTATAAGTTTCAGCCCCATGAAACCCAGCTCCTCTACTGGGAATGGACTCACATAATTACACTTTCACAAAGGTTTGCAGGGCACACAGTAGGCTCTTGCTCCCAACCTACATGGTCCCCTTCCCAGAGAGGATGCTGATGTGTGTGATTTTCCAGAATCAGTCTACCTAATACAAGTATATACAGATATTTCCCCCTCCCCTCCATTAATTAGTTCTTATTTTGAAATAATTTCAAGCTTATAGAAAAATTATGAGACAAGTACAAAGTACAGAGAACTGCTTTCCTCCTGAGCCATGGAGAGCAACCTACCCAACGTGAGCAAAGTGACAATATACCAAGTTACTCATTACAGCATTGTCTCTGCATGTTGCTATTGATAGGTCACTTTCTTGCGTTGGACTTGCAGCCACCACTCCTGGGGGCCTCCCCAAGGCCTACCATGCCTCTCCCTAATGTCTTTTAGAACTAATCATTTAGGAAGGAAGAGGTGAAAGGAAAAGTGGATGGGGAGGAACCTCTCTACTCTTTCTACACTAGTGGTAAAACATTACATTCACTGTCCTCCATCTTGTATTCTTCACTTGATAAATGTTAACGGAGCACCATATTATGTATAAAATATATGGTGTCATATTGCTAAGGAACAATCTAGTTTATTGATGAACTGTAGTGCCTTTAACAATTCAGTCTCCTATCGATGGGTATGTTTTGCCAATCTTTTGGAATTCCAAGTAAGGATTGTATGAATAACACAGTTACTGAGATCCCAGAACAAGCCTATACATTATCCTTTTATACACATATTAGTACACTCGTTGGATAAAATCTGGGAAATGGGTCAAAGGGCATGACTTTAATTTTGGCAAATAGCTCTTCATTAACAATATGTCAGAAAACCTTTAATTGGCTCTTTGCATGACAGGGAATTAAGAAATTCTGGGCATCTGTGAGTTAAAAAAATCAATGCCGACTCCCCCCCACCAACCAAAAAGAGAAAGTGACAGGTTCTTACTTGTTGCCTCTATGTATAGGGTCTTCCCATCAACACTTTGAACATTACAGGATAGAAATGCTTTCCTTCCTTCAAGTTTATCAAGTTGGCTATTGAGCACAACAACAGAACAAAGAGGGATAGCTCTGTGAAAGAAAAAAAAAACATTTTATTGAATTTATGTAACATTGAAAGATAATCAAGTGGGAGCCCCTTCAAGGGGCCAACACTAGTAGCTACTTACACCCTATTCTTCCCAAGACCCACTATTCTCCGATGTTGTTTCATCTGAAGGTCCTGTGAAAAATCTGAAGAGCTGAAATCATTTAAAGAAATGCAACAGGACCAGGCAGGTCTTCATTATCTGCCCTCATTTTCTCTGTCATAATCTAAATTTCTTACCCAATCCTCTCTAGATTAACTGTCAATAGAAAGATACCTAATAACAAAAAATTGCTAGTGACAACTTAATGTGCTAAACCAGCGCTATCCAACAGAACTTTGCATGATGGGAGACACGTCCCTTCTCCAAGCTGTCCAATACAGTAGCCACAGGTGCCTAGTGAGCACTCAAATGTGACTGATGAGAAGCTGAATCTTTAAATCTATTTAATTTTAATTAATTTATATTTAAATTTAAATAGCTACATGTGTCTAATGGCACATGGGAATGCTGGCGATAGGCTATCATAATGAAAATGATATCCCTTTGAAAGTGAAACTGTGGTTGGCAGACACAAGATTGTTCTGTGCTCTTCTACTACCACCTTGTGGAGAAAGGAACAACTCCAGGTGCAGAGGGAGTTTTCACTGTGATTACCCCTCTGCCCAGTGTTTGCTCCTATTAGCTTTACCTGAACCTCTACATGGAATAACCAAGGTTTGCCTTTATTACTCTAAACATTTCTATATATCATCTTTTCTATCATGTTATCTGATTAGCATGCTATCTCAAGTCCCTGAAGGTCTAAATTTGTTATTTATTGTTTCCATTGATTTTCACTTATGGTCATTTATTTTCTTATGTATTTGAAGAGGATCTAGTTGTTCTGAAGGAAAAAATGTCCTTCAGAATTCCTTGTCTGTCATGTTGCATGAAATCTGATTTAGTGTTTCCCAACCAAGATGCCATGAACGGGTTATAGAAATCCTGAGAAACTGATCTTTTCAGCTAGCTACCACTAATCATTAGCTGCTTTGTCTATTTATCTTAATGTGATGATAAGCACAAGAAAATAAACCAAGTGTGACATTTGGATCAGAGGACTAGAGAGTATTTGAGATGATTAAGGAGCAATCTTGCTTCTTAGAAGCAGGAGAGTGGAACAAGATACCAGATGATTAATTGACATGACAAATTATCTTCAATTAAAATTTAATCCCAGGCTGTTACCTCTAGTATCTTGAAGGGTCATCAATTGATTGGATTACATTTTTGGTTCTAACCCTGACTGTCTTCTCTTTATTCATGTGATTTCATCTAAAACTTGTCTTTAATAATTTTTCTAATTGTGGGTAACACATGAACAGCAATATAAACGATTTATGTGGATGGCTTGTTAGATGGGACAAGGACAAAGCATAGGACCTGGCTGGTAACAAGACACAAAATACTTGTTGCTAAATTATAATCTAAAAACTCCACTGAGCTTGTTTTCAAATGAACCTTTATTTTTTTGAGAAGGGAGGGTTGTATTGCATTCTTCAGCTTTATCCAAACATAAAAAATAGTTTTTAAAAACAAGGAAAATATTTAAATTTAACTTTTAACATATTTTAGCATATTAAAAAAGCCATTTCTAGGATCTAATTTTATCATCATAAATAATATAAAATACTAGCTATATGTAAAAATGACAATTTTTCCCAAACTAATCTTTAAAGTCAATGAAATTGCTACTAAAATCACATTTTGTTTTGGGTAGATTTTTTTGACAAATTTGTGATAACTTTCACTTGGCTCATCCAACAAATAGAGTGGTGGGTTGATGACATCTAGGATTTTATTAACAGAGGTACAATGAGTCTGTGCAGGGGGTGAAAAATCTAAAGCACAACCAAGAATAAAAGGAACGTAATGAAGGCCATATGTGAAAAGCCCACAGTACACATCACATACAATGATGGAAGACTAAAAGCTTTTCCTTTAAAATCAGGAACAAGATAAGGGAGGTCCACTTTTGCCACTTTGCTTGAACACAGTACTGAAAGTTCTAGCTGGAGAAGTTAGGTAAGAAAAAGAAAAAGGCACCCAAATTGGAAAGAAAGAGGTGTTCACTGATGACAAGATCTTCTATGTAGAAAACCCCAAAAGATTCCACTGTTAAAATAAGCAAATTCAGTAAAGTTGCAGGATATAAAATTAAAAGACAAAAAAAAAAATTGACTGAATTTCTATATACTAAAAATGAACAATCTGAAATGGAAAATAAGAATTTCATTTAAAATAGTATCAAAATGAATAAAATACTTGGGACTAAATGTTACCAAGGAAGCAAAAGACTTATATACTGAAAACTACAAAACAGTGCTAAAAAAAGTTAAAGAAGACACAAATAAATGAAAAGAGGTCCTATGTTCAAAGATTGAAAGACTTAATATTGTTAAGATGTCAATATTACTAAAAGCAATTTATGGACTGAATGCAATTACTATTAAAATCCCAATGGCACTTTTTTTCAGAAATAGAAAAACCCACCCTAAAATTCATGCATCTCAAAGGACTGTGAATAGCCAAAACAATATTGAAAAACAAACAAACCAACCAACCACTGGAGTTTCATACATGCTGATTTCAAAAACATATTACAAAGCTGTAGTAATCCAAACAGACATATAGCCCAATGGAAAAGAATAGATAAGTTTGGAAATAAACCCTCTTATACATTGTGAAATGATTCTCTAAAAGGGTTCAAAGACACTCATTGGGGAAAGACAGTCCCTTCAACAAATGGTGTTGAGAAAGTGGGATACCCATGTGCAAAAGAATGAAGCTGGATATATATATATATTTATTTATTTATTTTTATACAGGAGCTGGGATACAGGCCAGAGGCGTGGGAGGGTGAGAGGATTCACCAGAGACAGAGCAAGGAGCAAAACAGGCAGACGACTGAAATACAATGCTGAGGGGAGCAGCGGACATGACAGGTGAGGTCTGCTGCACCATGAGGGATACTTGCCAGCCGGCTGGGATGGAACCGGCACTGTAGAGGCTATGGACAGCTTCACAGCATGGCGCTCAACCCACCACACCACGGGGGAAGGCCCTGGATATATTTTTTTAAAGATTTATTTATTTATACATACAAGAACTGGAGTACAGGCCAGAGCCATGGGGAACAGAACAGGCGGATTGACTGAAATATACTGCTGAGGGGAGCAGCGGGCAAGACAGGAAAGGTCTGCTGCGCCATGTGGGTCACCTCCCCGGCTGGGGTTGGAACTCATGCTGCTGTGGATAGCTTCACAGTACTGCGCCTTAACCCCTTGTGCCACGAGGGAGGCCCCTGAAGCTGTGTATTTACCCTATATCATAAATAAAATTTACTGAAGATGAATTAAACATAAAACTAAAAACTCCTAGAAGAAAATAATGAGGAAAAGCTTTATGACACTTGGACATGATGCCAAAGGCAGAGGCAACAGAAGGAAATATTGATAAATGTGATTACATCACACTTAACATCAAAGTACACCATGAACAGTGAACAAAAACCAAACTACAGAATGGGAGAAAATATTTGTAACTCATATATCTGATAAGGTGTTAATATCTAGAATATACAAAGAACTCCAACAACTCAAAAACAACTAAGCAAAAAAGAAAACAATAAAGTAGATGAAGTACTTGAGTAGGCATTTCTCTAAAGGTGATGTACAAATGGCCAATGAGAATATGAAAAGGTGTTCAACATCACTTATGATTAGAAAAATGTAAATCAAAGCACAATGAGGTATTATCTAACAGTCATTAGGATGGCTACTACAAAAAAAACCCAAAAACAAAAACCTCCCAAACACTAAAAGAACAAGTGTTGACAAAGATGTGGAAAACGGGAACCCTGATGCACTGTTGACTGGAATGTAAACTGGTGTAGCTATGGTGTAGAACAGTCTAGTGCATCCTCAAAGAATTTATAATTAAATTATGATACAATGCAGTAATTCTACTTCTAGATATACATAAAAAGGTACTGAAATTAAGAATTCAGAGATATTTGCACACCCATGTTCAGTGCAGCATTATTCACAATAGCCAAGAGGGAGAAGCAACCCAAATATGAATTGATGATCAATGGATAAATGAAATGCAGTATGTACTTCAACAGAATATTAATCAGCCTTAGAAAGGAAGGAAATCTTGGCACATGCTAAAACACAAATGAACCTTGATGACATCACACTAAGTAAGAAACAACAGTCATAAAAAGACACTTACACGAGGTATCTAAAGTAGTCAAATTCACAGAAACAGAAAGATGATGGCTGCCAGGGACTCCCCAGAGGAAATGAAGGGTCTTTGTTTAACTGGTACAGAGTTTCAGTTTTTCAAGATGAAAAAGTTCTGGAGCTCTGTTTCACAACAATGTGAACACTATTGAACTATACATTAAAAAAAGGTAAAGACTGTAAATTTTGTGTTGTGTCTTTTTGTACAACTAAGAAACACACCAAAAGCAACAACAAAAATAAGGCACCAAAAATATGAAATCTAAAATATCGGTATGAACGCATAACCTTATTAAACATCAATAACTTTTCAAACTGTGACAATGAAATGGCCCAGCACAAGGTCATCCTGTCTACCATGAGAACACATATTGAACAATCTAAGGTTTTTCAGGTCTTTAGCACTATTTTCCACTAAAAGGAATCAGGGATCTTTGTAGACTAACTATCCATGTCTTGGCACAGATGTGTCTTTTTTTTTTTTTTAATTAAAGATTTATTTTTATTTATACAAGAGTTGGGGTATAGGCCAGAGTCACGGGTGAGAGGATTCACCAGAGACAAAACGGGGAGCAGAACAGGCAGATGGACCGAAGGCACTGCTGAGGGGAGCCAGTGGGCGAGACAGGAGAGGTCTGCCTAGCCATGTGGGATTCTCCCTGGCTGGCTGGAGTCGAACTGGTGCTACGGAGGCTGCGGACGGCTTCACAGCGCAGTGCTCAACCTGCTGCGCCACCGGGGAAGCACCAGATGTGTCTTCTTGATACCAGTAGTGAAAGTAATGATAATAACAACACTAATGCTGTGATAATAATAATAAGCAGCTAACAATTCCTGACTTCTTGTTATTTGGCCAGGTACTGTTCAAGGAGCTTCTTTTGGATTAATTCATTTACCCCTCACAATCATCCCATTAGTTAGGTATTGTTATCATCATTTTAAAGATGAGAAAATTGAAGCAAGAAGTCTTCCACATATTATTAAAAGGGCTTGAGCATGAACTGATGGTAGGCCAAGACGTGAATAGCCCTAAAGAGACAATAACCAAAACAAAGAGAAACCTCACCGACTGGGAGAAAATTTTTGCACACAACACCAATGATAAAGGACTGATGACAAAAATCTACAAAGAGCTGATGAGACTCAACAAAAACAAAGAAAATAACCCAGTCAAAAAATGGGCGGAAGAGCTAAAAAGAAACTTCTCTGAAGAGGAAATGCAAATGGCCAATGAAAAAATGGCATATGAAAAAATGTTCAACATCACTTGCAATCAGGGAAATGCAAACCAAAACTATAATGAGATATCATCTCACTACAGTGAGAATGGTACATATTAAAAAAACTAGCAACAACAAATGTTGGCGAGGATGTGGAGAAAAAGGAACTCTCCTGCACTGCTGGTGGGAGTGCAAACTGGTCCAACCACTATGGAAAGCTGTGTGGAGATTCTTCAACCTACTAAAGATAGAGCTTCCATATGATCCAGCAATTCTACTCCTAGGTATTTACCCAAAGGACACAGAAACATCAACTCCAAAGAGCACCTGCACCCCTATGTTTATAGCAGCACTATTTACAATAGCTAAGCTTTGGAAACAACCCAAATGCCCAAAAATAGATGACTGGATCAAGAAGATGTGGTATATATACACAATGGAATATTACTCAGCAATCAAAAAGATAAACACATGCAATTTGCAGCAACATGGATGGAGCTGGAAGGGATCATGCTCAGCGAAATAAGCCAGAAAGAAAAAGAAAAATGCTGGATGGTCTCACTCATTGCAGGAATCTAGAAAACCTAAATAAGGGATCAGGAAAAAGAATAACTATAGGAAAGAAAAAATCAAAATCAACAAACAACTATGAACCAGAGACATACTATAGGAGGGGAGGTGGGGAAAGGAGAGATATGGGTCAAAATAAGGGGGTTGCAATTGGATGGGGAATATAAAAATAAAATAATAAAAGAAAAGACTGTTGCTTTTTATGTCCCACCCCCACCCCTGCAAGTGTGTAAGATGTAAGTGAACTGACTGTTGAAAAGAACCACTTGTATATTCAGTGCATTTAACATCCATGGACATACGCTATTTGGAGGTTTATCAGTGTTGCAGTGACAGAGTTGAAGAGGGTCCTCACCACCTCCCACCCCTACAGCAATAGAGAACTGGGAGGAAGCCAAATAATTCTAGAAAATGTTGGAATTATACTCTTAACAAAAGGGATAACAGAAAATAGCCAGTGAGAAAGAAGGCTACTGTTTTGCCCAGAGAATATTCTTGAAAGAAAACTACAGACTCATGTCCTTTCTACTGGGAGATGGAACTTTTGCTAATTAAATGAGATGAATATAATTGCAGGTGAGCAGTAAACCAAGGCAGAAAATGTACTAAGAAACAATGGATCTGGATACTAAATAAGGTGAAGTATAAGGATGTAAGCAAAGATGTTGGCCTGGAAAATCCCACAGGCACAGCAAGGAAATCTTGACTTTAAGACGGTCGAGTCTCATGAACTGAGGCTTGGGCTCTAAAGCACCTTCAAAGGCAAAATCCAGTCCCATCAAGAATCTCCAGGTTGACAGCCTAGAATCTACAAATTTTATTGATCTGAGATAGTTTCTTAAGGGTCAGTCATAATTGCTAGAAACCTAGGGAGGTTACAAGAATGAGTATTCAAACTTCAGGAAAATGTATGCAGTGACATCCTGAAGAAATTAATCCAACCTAGAATGAAAAAGTTGATAGGTTAAGCGTAGGTGGAAAGATAAATGTATAATCATTGAAATAATCTTGTGTTTGAGATATTTAAACTCTAATGCCAGGATTGTTACTTTATTTACTGACATATTTAATGAAATTGGATTATGGTTTTTTTTTTTTTAAAAGATTTATTTATTTAGGGCCTCCCAGGTGGCGCAGCGGTTGAGCGCTGGGTTGCGAAGCTGCCCGCGGCCTCTGCGGCGCCGGTTCGATCCCCGGCTGCTCCCCGGCCACCGGAGGAGGGTCCCACATGGCGCGCAGACCTCTCCTGCCGCCCGCTGCTCCCCTCAGCAGTGTACTTCGGTCCTTCTGCCTGCTCTGCTCCCTGCTCTGGCTCTGGTGAATTCTCTCGCCCTCCCGGCTTCTGACTGTACCCAGTGCATGTATAAACCAAACAAACAAACAAACAAATAGATAAATAAGACGTGCCTCTAGAAAATTAAAAAAAAAAAAAAAAAAAAAAAAAAAGATTTATTTATTTATTTATACTAGAACCGGGGTACAGGCCAGATGCACGGGACGGTGCGAGGATTCACCAGAGACAGAGTGGGGAACAGAACAGGCAGATTGACAAAATAAACTGCTGAGGGGAGCAGCGGGTGAGACAGGAGAGGTCTGTTGCACCATGTGGGACCCTCGCTGGCCAGCTGGGATCGAACCGGTGACGTAGAGGCTGCGGACAGCTTCACAGCACTGCGCTCAACTGCCTGCGCCACCAGGGGAGGCCTCTGGATTATGTTTTTAATTAAAGTTTCAATATTTAAATAATTTATAAGTTTGAATTGATTAATGTCTGTGGTTGTATGAATTGCTGACCCTGAATTTATTTGAGGTGATAATCACACCAGTTAAGGGACCACTTCCCTAATGTCCCGTATTACTAATGAGATTAAATGATGAGCTGTGTAGTAGTTTTAGGAAGTTTCCTGAATTTCCTTCCTCAATTCTGCTGCCCAGGGCATGTGATAGCTCTGGCTGCTACTCCAAGACTGAAAAAGGAGTGCTAGAAAGAGCCTGCATCTCAGAACTGGGGCGCAGCCACACCAGCCTAGGTGTCATCGCATTCAGATGCGTTTTACACGATACATTTTCATCTTGTTGAAGTCCTTTTATTTCGAAGTAACTGCTATTGGCATCTGGGGAGGGAGAAGTTGAAGAAGCTGGCTGTCAATTCATTCAGCGTATGTGTGTGTGGATGTGTGCTAGGGAGCAGTAAGAGACACTCCCAGGCAAAAGAAAAGAAGGAAAGTGACCATGTCTAATTCTTTCCAACTGGGCCTCCAAATAAATAGACCAAGAGTTGGCAAACTGTATCCTGTTGACCACCTACCCAGTTTTGTAAATAAAGTTATACTGGCAAACAGTGCTGCCCATTTCTTTATGTATTGTACATGGCAGATTTTGTGTTACAATGGCAGAGTTGAGTACACTCACTGTATTGCCTGAAAAGTGTAAAATATTTATGGAAAAACTTTGGCCCATCCTTGAAATAAACTAATAATATTTGCTGGTGGGGGGGAGTGGAAGGAAGCGTGCTTTTCTAATGAATATTCTCTGGCTAAGCATTACAGTAAAAAAAAAAACAACCACCCACAAAAACCCAAACACACACACACATACACACAGAGCCAAAAACCAAACAAACCCATTATTTTTGAGGTGTGGCTCACCAGTGGCGGCCAAAAAAGCCAAGAGACTCTCTGGGAGTACAAAACGGAAATATTCCCCAACTTAAATGCTGCCTACTATGTGAAGTAATAACCCACAAAATCTCATTTGGAAACCTCATCTATTGAACTTTCTTATCTTAAAGTCTATTTTGCCCTATTGCTTTTATTCCATTCCAAATGCTAGTATACACACCATTTTGCTAATTAAATGGGTATAGCTGTGTGATTGAAGAATTAAGTAAAATCATGCTAAGCTTCGTGTTTGATGGGTAGCAAATTTACAGTGCTGCCCTTCTACTTCTCTGTATGAAATTAAACATGTTTGTTATATAGTGGATGTTGGTGCTCTACTCAGATCCCCTTTGGTCTTTTTTTTGCACCTTTGATTTTGGTTATTTTCTCTGCCATTGCTTTGCTCAAACACTGTGCCAGAAGTGCCTGTGAAGTTCTGGTCCCCTGGGCAGAATTACCCCACAACTGACATGTGAGAGAGTATGAAGATTCCAGCTCCCTAGCTGTGGGAGGGAGACAGCTACCATCAAACACAAAGCAAGTCTAAGGCTTGCTTTTCACTCCAGAGTTCCTTGAATGATCAGGCTAATGTTACCCTTTGTAGGACTTTGAGAGACCACCCTTGAACAGCTTCTTCCCTAGCCCTATTCTGCTTCTCCCACTCCACTGGCGTTTCTATGGGAGTACTTCCTCAATAAACACTCATACCCAAGCCTTATCTTGGTGTATGCTGTTGGGGACTCCAATCTATTCCTCCTAAGAAGCTGAGAATACCCATGAATTTACCTTTTATAATTGATGTTGAGGTTGGCAGTCATGACGATTCCTCCAACCATAATTGCACACATACCAGCAGTAGCATCAATCATGGTGGCAGCGGCACCTCCATGAAGATATCTAGTTAAAAAAGAAGGGAAAGAGAAATGTTACCAAAAGTTCTGAAAGCAGAGAGCCTCTCCAGAGAGAGAAAAATTACTCAAGTATCAGGATATAATTACAGAGGTACATAAGAAAAGTCCACTTAGTCCATGTTTAATGTACTGAATGTCAAATTATATCTGTGTTCCCAACATAACTGTTCATAGTATAACAGAACAGAATTTGTGATAAAACCAAAATTTAGTGATAATCAGATCACAAAGAAGCAAGAAGCTAAAATACAATTTAAAAATTTTATACTGTGCTTTATTTAGCTGTTACATCCTTGTTTAAAAAGTTAGGAAATGCAAATAACTAGAAGAAAAACTGTAAGATCTACAATTTCACCATCTAGTGATAAACCATGGTTGTTAAAGATACGCTCTCAAATTACTGTATGTTTTATGCATATAATAAGTTTATCATGAAATCTTTCTAAGTCAATAAATACAATACCACTTGTGATACCTTCATTATAGTCTAAGGACAGGGGAAATAATAAGATACCACTCTTTTAGATCCACATTACCTAGCTATCATTCTTACCCAGGTACTCCTTGCAGGTAAGGACCTCCTTGAAACAAGCAAACTACTCTTTTCTCAGCATCATTATAGAACATCGCATATTCAAATCCCAGGCCCTCCTCATAGCTTCTGGTGAAGAGCCGGGCCTCGGAGTTTTGCTCTTCTTTTAGGTTCAAATCTGTAGGGGAACGAGGTAAACGGGCTCACGAAAAAAAGACCATGACAGAGTTAGACATCTGCTCCTGCTGGAATCACAAGTCAACTGATAATTAAAACATCAATCAGGCATGACTTTGAAGGAATCAGAGGGGTCCTCCAAAACAGAAGATAGGATCTTTTTTTTTGTGTATTAATAGTGTAACTGGGGGGGCCTCCCTGGTGAGGCAAGGGGTTAAGACACAACCTATGAAGCTATCCACAGCCACTGCAGCACGAGTTCGATCCCAGGACAGGGAGCAACCCACATGGCGCAGCAGACCTCTCCTGACTCGCCCCCAGCTCCCCTCAGCAGTGTATTTCAGTCAATCTGCCTGTTCTGTTTCCCACTCTGTCTCTGATGAATCTTCTCACCACTCCCCCTCCAATATCTCTGGCCTGTACCCCAGTTCTTGTATGCATAAATAAATAAAAATCTTTAAAACAAAACCAGTGAAACTGGGGACACAGTAAAATAAATAAAAGAAAAACAAAGTACTCACACTTGGCAATCAGGAAATATAGTATATAAATAGTGAGATTATACTGAGTAAAATAATAAGGTGTAGAGAGAAGGCCTTCTTGGAATAAATGGTTTAAATGGGATTTAAAGAAAATGAATGTAGCAAGAGGGAATAGGCTTTTTCTTGCAGACATGAGTTTGGAAGAACAGAAGATAGTTATACTGAGTCAGAAACAAGGCCAAGTGAGCCCAATATTCCATGTGATTATGACTCTAAGCCCCCAACTCAAGGTTAGAACTAGTAGGGTTCATAAAATCAAATGAATGGGTTATAATCAAACCTTAAAAAGAAACAGACTGTGGGTTTGTTTCCTCTCTCTGCTCAGAGAGCTTTCCTGTCCTTCTCCTTGCCTGATAGTTAATTTCTTACTTTTCTGCCTTAAAAAAAAAAAAAAGAAGAAGAAAAAGAAACAGATTGCTTCTCATAGATCCTGGATAAGCACTAGTGTACTTGTTTAGGTAGGTTTTTTTCAATTATATAACTGTACACAAGTTGTGTGTGTACTGGATCATGAGTCCAAGCACAGGTTGCTTCAAAATAAAGACTGAACAACATGGTGGAATAGAGAGGCTGGGATCACTATCTCTCCTAAAAAAGGATTGATAATGAGCTCTTAGCAAAATCTTCGAACCAGCTATACCATACCAGCAATCCTCCAGAATGCCCAGGGCAAAAGCGGGCACCCTGACATAAGGGGAAGCCTAGCCCACCAGGCAGGCTAACATCTTCCAACAAGGACTAACTCCCAACCAGAAATCCTCAGTAACCCCCACCACAGTTGGAATCCTCAGATACCCCAGGTGAGCAACGCAGATCCAGCACCAGTATCCGGTTCCACAGTAGCAGCAGAACTTTCTTTTTTCTTATACCCTGAGACCCAACTCAGGAGTAAACCCCTACTGGGAAGTGCATCCCATTCAGCCCTCTGGCGCCACCTAGTCAGTAGGGACAGAATACTAGCTTGACCAGAGAGAACTTGAAAGACTGAAACTGGCAACACCACTCAACAAGCCCATGCCTCCAAGTTGACCAGGCTGCAACTGGAGCCTCACAGTTGCCGTGCTCTGCATCAGAGACTCTCAGCTGTCTCTAGCTACTACAGGAAGTGCATCCCACTCAGCCTGCTGCACATGCCAGCAGGGCCACAGCTGGAGCCTCGTGGTGCCAGTCCCTACATCAGGGACTTCTGGATACCCCAAGTGGTCTGACAGGAGCCCTCACACCTGTCCAGCTGCCACAGTGGCCCAGACAGTGTGCAGATCCACCCACACCAAAGTAAGAGCGCTGGGAAGTCCCCCCACCAGCGGTAGCAGTCTGGTTATCAGATGCCATGGAACCACCACCTCTGAACCAGCTCAGTTTCAACAGCAGGCCAGGCAGTGTGCAGATCCATCCAGGCAAAGGTAAGAGTGCTGGGACATTCCACCTGCCAGCAGCAGCGTTCTGGTCAATGGGTGCATGGGAACCCCCGCCTCCCCTGAACCCACCCAGCTGTCGGAGTGGCCCGGGCAACTAGCAGATCCATCCACTGACCATCAGAAGAGGTCTGGTTGGTGGGAGCTGAGGGGAGAGCAGCAGGAGCACTCACCCCGCCTCCACCCCACATTGGCTCAAGCTCCAGACAGATCCAAACATACCTGGGTGAGAGCACACAGAAATCATGCCAGTGGGCACCAGTGGACACACAGTCTGACATGTAGATCAAACATGAATACAAACAATGGGGTTAAAGAAATATACAAGTGGTCAAGCCAGCCTTCTTGAGAATAATACACCACAAAAAGAAAATCAGCTTCTAGAACCCAATGACACTGACTCTCTGCCTGACAGTTAAAGAATTCAGAATTATCTTAATTAAAAAACTAAAAGAAGCAGAAAAGGAACAGAATGCTAAGAGAAACATAATTAATGAACAGAAGGATGAGACTGAATCTTTAAATAAGAATGTAAAGTAACTGGAAGAGGTTAAAAGATCAATGGAGGGGGGCCTCCCCTGGTGGCACAGCGGTTGAGCACTGAGCTGTGAGGCTGCCCGCAGCCTCTGCAGCGCCGCAGGTGAGGGTCCCACATGGCGCGCAGCCCTCTCCTGCTGCCCACTGCTCCCCTAAGCAGTGTATTTCGTCAGTCTGCCTGTTCTGTTCCCCGCTCTGGCTCTGGTGAATCCTCTCACTCTCCTGTGCTTCTGACTGTACCCAGTGCTTGTATAAATAAATAAACAAATCTTAAAAAAAAAAAATCAATGGAGGAACTAAAAAATTATGGAAAAAGCCACAAAAATAGATTAGATGAAATGGAAGAATGAATCAGTACTCTTGAAGAAAGACATAAAGAGTTAAAAAGGAAAAAGAGAGGAATAAAGGAAAAAGAAGAAACACTCCAAGAATTATCTGACATCATGAGGAAATACAAGCATGATAGGAATCCTAGAAGGAGAAGAGAGATGAGTGAACTGAGAAACTATGAACAAAATAATTAAAGAGAACATCCCAAACTTAAGGGAATGAAAATAGACATACAGGAAGCTAGAAGAACACCAAACTACCACAATGAAAACTACAGTAAGACACATATTAATAAAGCTTCTAAGAATCTAAGACAAAAAATGATGAAACTGATGAGGGTAAAGAAACAGATAACCTGTAAGGGAAACAGATTAGGCTGGCATCAGATTTCTCTAAAGAAACACTACGGGCAAGAAGAGAATAACATACTCAAAAAACTCCAAGACAAAAAAATGCCAGCCAAGAATACTTTATCCTGTAAATGTCTCCTTCCTTTATGAGGGAAAAGTTAGAACCTCTCAAGACAAACAAAATCTTCAGAAATTCACCCCTACTAATCCCACTCAAAGAAATACTACAAACTTTAAGATCTAAACCAACAGAAGAATGAACAGGAAGAACTAAAGGAGGCAGTGACTAGAACCACAAAACAATCACCAAAATGGGCCTCCCTGGTGGCGCAGCGGTTGAGCGCTGGGTTGCGAAGCTGCCGGCGACCTCTGCGGCGCTGGTTCGATCCCCGGCTGCTCCCCGGCCACCGGAGGAGGGTCCCACATGGCGCGCAGACCTCTCCGGCCGCCCGCTGCTCCCCTCATCAGTGTACTTCGGTCCTTCTGCCTGCTCTGCTCCCCGCTCTGGCTCTGGTGAATTCTCTCACCCTCCCGCGCTTCTGACTGTACCCAGTGCATGTATAAACAAAACGAACAAACAAACAAATAAAAAAAAAAAAGTTTCTAAAAAAAAAAAAACAAAAAACAAAAAAAACAATCACCAAAATGGCAACAACAGACTTCCATATATCCATCTCATCCTAAATGTTAATGGACTAATTCACCAATAAAAGACACAGAGTAGCATACGGGATTAAAAAACAGGGATCCAACATTCTGCTGCCTCCTGGAAACATACCTAAGCTTTAAAGATAAACAGACTGAAAGTAAAGGGTTAGAAAATAATTCTACAAGCAAATGGCCCCAAAGAAGGCGGGGGGAAGCCATACTTAGAGCAATAAAACAGACTTCAAACTAAAAAACATGATGAGGGGCCTCCGTAGCGGCACAAGGGGTTAAGTATCAACACTATGGGGCTGTGATCAGCAGCCACTGCAGCACAGGTCCAATCCCCGGCCAAGGAGCTCACCCACATGGCGCAGCAGAGCTCTCCTGTCTTGCCCGCTGCTCCCCTCAGCAGTGTATTTCAGTCAATTGCCTGGTCTGCTCCCCATTCTCTCTCTCGTGAATCTTCTCACCCCCCACACCTTTGGCCTACCTCCCAGCTCTTGTATGCATAAATAAATAAATCTTGAAAAATAAAATAGAAAATGTGATGAGACATCCAAAGAGTACTATATAATGGTCAAGGGGATAATACACCAGAAAGACATAACATCCTTCAATATATACTCACCAAATGAGGGAGCTTCAAAATACATTAGACAATTACTATCAGCTCTGAAAAAGGACATTGGAGAAGATACAAGGATGCCCGCTCTCACCACTGCTCTTCAATATAGTACTAGAAGTCCTAGCTAGGGCAATTAGGCAAGAGAAAGACATAAAAGGAATTCAAATAGGGAAAGAAGAAGTGAAACTATCATTATCTGCAGATGATATACGCTATATAGAGATTGCTAAAAAATCCACAGAAAAACTAATTAAAGCAATAAACCAGTTTAGTAAAGTAGCAGGTTACAAAATCCATACACAAAAATCAGTACCCTTCCTATGTGCAAACACTCAATCTCATGAGTAAGAAATTAAAAAAACCATCCCATTTGCAATTGTACCAAAAAAATTTTAAATACCTGGGAATAAACCTAACGAAGGAGGTAAAAGACCTACACAAGGAAAACTACAAAACACTGTTAAAAGATGCAAAGAAGAGGCAGCACTCCATCTGCCCACCTGTGACTATGCAGGTGCTTCTTTTCACCAACTCTCTCCCTCTGCAGGGCAGCAGCTTCTGCCTGCCTGTGACCTGTA